TTATAAAGTATTGCATTAGGATCTTTGGTAACCTTTTTCCAAATGAGCAAATTACCAGATTAGGTACCATTATCAAAGCTTTGAGACAAATGAGTGGGCTTTGCCAACTTTTTATGTGTGGAGACAACTGCTCCTGCCTGGATCAGGTAGGCCAATCAGAAACAGGCACATATTGTAATCCCAAACAATCCTGGTTGAAATGGAAGGTTTTGGGCAAAACTTAAAGGCAATAAAAGAACCATCCACTTCTTGCTGTATTATCATGGATTCTATTCTATTTCCTGCCTGAGCAGGAGGTTAGACTAGATCAGAGGTCACCAACCTTTTCTTGCTGGCAGCCCAGAGGGAAAGGGAGCAGCTGGAAAATTTGCGTGCACGCGCACGCACATGTGTGGAAAATGGGGCCACAAGCACTGAAAGGGGGCTAGAGGCCCTGTTTGCATAGGCTGCAGGGGCTAGCTGCCGCTGCTAGCCCTGGGCGCATGTGCAAACTGGTCCATGGGCACCAGCATGAGTGCATGCATGTGTGTGAGGGCACTGGCCAGCCTGTCCCATGGCCTAGTGGCCAGTAGGCCACAGCCCATAGATTGGGGACCCCTGGACTAGATGACCTCCAAGGTACCTTACAACATTGTTATTGTTGTTGTTATTGTTGTTGTTAATTGAAATAAATAAAACTTGATTCACACATTGGCCTATACCAGGCATGTCAAACTCGGACGTTGCGCAACGTATTGGGCCGGTTTTGCCATTGCTGGCAATGGGGTGGGCACGGCTTCCATGTGACATGTCTGACCTGCGGGCCGGCAGTTTGACAACCCTGGCCTATACCTTGTTTGTTGAACCTGGGTGTATAAAATAACCTCATTTGCTGAATTCATATATCCACTAAATCATAAGTCCTGATATTTAGACATCATGACTAAGTTCATATAAGGTAGTAAGCAAAACCAATTAAATGCACGCCATCTTGATATAATGTGTGAACTATGTGCTGGCTGGGGAATTTTGGGAGTTGGGAGTCCACAAATCCTACAATTGCCAAGGTTAAAAAAACAATGAATTAAACTAGCTAATTTCTACTGACACTATTTTTCTCTATCTTTTTGTATTTAAATTACAATCCTATTCCTACTTTGCTAGGTACCAGCTTCAATATAAAGGGTCTTCTTTCGGAGTAGATGAATACAAGATTGTGCTGCCAATTCTTTTTTTTTAATTTCTCCACAATACAATAATACTTTGTGGCAACAACTCATTCACAAATCCAATTGAACTGAAAGCCTCTATGTGCCTTGACAGGCATTGCCTTGTTTTATTTCATATTACAAACAAAGCAAAATTAACAAGTGCTTCTTGTTAACTTCATAATATCCATTGCATTTTTTTGGTCATTTAGATCAATGAAAATATATTTTTAGTCTTAAACCTTATGGAAACTATTTTTGCTGCCTTTCTTTATATCTTTGTTTCCATTTTCTACAAGTCAAATTCTACAACATTTGGAGCAAAGGATTTAGCATCTGCAAATCATGTGCATCTCTTTACTCTGAAAATGCTTACAATAAAGGTTCTTTCCTCACATTCCCCCAACATTTTGCAATTCTTAACACTGAGTTTCATCTGTCATTTTATTGCTAAAGTCACCCAGTTGTGTAATGACCTTCCACAGACAGCAATCTGTTTCAAGTGCAAAGCTTTGCCTATTGTGTTTCCAGCTCAATATTCTTCTCTCTCTCTCTTTCTCCTTCTTTTCTTCCTTCTCTCCCTCCCTCCCTCCCTTCCTCCCTCCTCTCCCCCCTTCTTTCTGTTTTCAGTGCTTTCCTTTCTACTCTCCTCTTCATATTTTTAGAATACCACTTGATTTCTTACTCATTTGCCACTCTACTCCTCAGCATAGCAGTCTTAACAAACAGAGAAGGAGTTGGAGGCATACTGGTCTATTAAGCAGAAAATCCAAAAAGCAATTATGTGTGGGGATGGGTTGGGGAAAAGAGAATCTGCTTTTTTTTTTTAAGTGCTCCAGATTTTGCCAAATGCTAAAGTTGACCCTGATCAAAACAGAGCTGGGGGGAGGTAGGTCGGCCCAATGCTCTGGAAATACAGTTGGTTGAATTCTCAACTTAACCACCTCCCCATTAGTAACTGACAAAACAACAGTCCCTCTTATTCTAGGATGACTTTGTTTTCTTAAGAGACTTTGAAGAATGGTTTTCTAAAAGACTTCGGAAAATCCATTTGTATAGAATCAATGGGAGCACCCTCTTTCACAGGCTGCCTGAACATTCTCAGAGAATCTGGGAAGATGAGTGAGGTGTCACTTTCCCTTATTAATCCCAGAGCTGACAATTTCCTGACATAACAACATTCATCTATACATTTTGTATTTTCATCTAGGCTTCAGAATTTCTGTGCATTTTCAAGGGAAAACAGATATTTAATTTAGTAGATAAAGATTGTGAAATTCAACGCCAGGCAGAAAATTCAACTGGAGACAAAAGGTATATTGGAAAAAAAAAACACCCTGTCGTTATTCACTGTGGTGATTTACCTAGGAATGTGTTGGGATTTGCATTCTGCATTTTGAATATTTATAATAATCTGTGCATACTATATTTTTTTACTCCATTAGAGCTCCTTTCAGAATTCAGCCTCCATGAGACTTTTGTCCCTGACAAGACTGATGAAACAAGGATGAATCCTGACCTGTAGGAGACCGCTGATGTTCCTGGTGTAAGGACAACTCCTTTCATCCTTTTTAACATTTCTCCTGCAGGACAATATCTAGCAAATGACCTCTCATATTACTTAATAGAGGGGAAAAGTGTGCCATTTGGATGTTCTGCTTCAGATATAAAAATGTCTGAGGCAGACCACCATTCCTGTAAGCTCAGTCAGAGAAACCACGAGTTCCATTTCAGGTCTTCTGCTTTTTCCATGGATGCTAGGATGTTCAGTAATTACACAAATACATTATTATGGGCAGAAACAAAGCTGTCTTTGAAGCCAAGAAAAGACAAGCAGGATTCAGTATTCCAAATCCCACCTCCGGCAAGCTCTGAATGGAATGAAGTTGCTCTTCATCAAGACTAGTCGGAGTATTAAAAGCCAGTTGCCAAAATATATGAGTGAGGTTTGCTGCAATAGATCCTGCCGTGTAGCAAAGAGGGCAAATATAATAATATAAAAAGATGCCTAAGATGATGTTGCTTTGGAGGTGTGGGTGTAGTCAGGAAACTTTTTTTTTTATTTCTTTCCCTTCATAAAATTGATTGGCAGTAAGTCTGGGATAGAAATGGAAAGGAATTCTTTAATTAACACCTAATAAAGTTGCAGGAGTCACCACCACCACATGCAAGCAATCATCTTTAATGTAGTCTTTGTTTAGTAAAGAATAAAAAGCAAGCCATTGAGAACCTCCATAGTTAGAGGCATTTGCTGGCCAGTTTTGGAAACAATGGAGCCTTGCTTTGATCCAGGCAGGCAACTCTTCCAAAGGCTTAAAGAAGCGTGGAGATCTTAGCCTAGGAATAAAATTGTTGTGTTATTCAAAGTATGGAGCTGCTATGTTCAAAGCCAGGCTGTGATTTCACGGTGATAGTAGCTAATGTGCTGTTTAGAGAAATTCAGCAGCATTTTGTAGCTGGAATAGTGAGAGTCTGGTGGTCTCTCACCCTACAGTGGTGTTGCTGCTGCTGCTGTGAGAAGCTGGAAAGTGTTAATCCCAGTGGGGAAAACAGTATGTTTTTCAAGGACTGCCAGAATGGTCCAGAGTGAATCAGATGGCTTAGAATAGCCTTCTCCAACCAAGAGCCCTCCGGGGAGTTCGGGGTCAGATGATTGTAGTTCCCTACTTCCAATGGACACCAGACTATAGAAATATGTGTACTTGATTTAAAAAAAAAATAGCAGGTAGGTTTTGTTCTTTCAGAGATTTGGAGGAAAAAACTTGTAGCCCACTCCAATCTCCTTGGGCAAGTAAGTTCCATGTTAACTGCTTGGGAATAATGTAGATGGACTAAGCAAGCAAACCTGGCGTCTACTGAAAATCTTGGAAGCCTAAAGCATTTTCTTGTCTTTAAAATAAAAATAAATTGTTACATGTGAGGAGTAACCCTGCATGGTGTCTGAATTTTCAACTGCACCCACAAGCTCTTAAGCTTTTTGAGATGTCCTCAAAGGATGGCCAGGTGGACAAGACCTACGTGGCACATTCTCCTGGGTACTGGGGCGGAGGTGGTGGTGAAGTAATTGCCTCACGCCCCTGTGTTGTGCCTGTTTGTCTTCTTGTTTACCACAATTGCTCCTGGGCACAGCAGATCTTGGCCGTCTGTGCACAGGGGATGGAGCCGAAGAGGCTCAGGGCAAGACGGGCAAGGGCTGCTGGAAAAGGCTAGATGAGACTGCTAAGTACCGCCGCCCAAAGGGTGGTCGAATTGCCGTTCTTTAAGGGAGACGCTTTCCCGGATCACAGAAAACATCCTCGATTTCTGCCAGTTTTCACAACACACGCGCGCGCGCACACACACACACACTGTACACAACAGAACGTCCCTCCTCTTCAGCCCGTCAAGAGCCACGGATAAGGCACCCCACGTTCTCCTCTCCCCCCCCCCGCACGGCCAGCCTTCACGCCAGAAAACCCCGCAGAAGCCCGAGGGCGCACACACTCACCACGCGGGTCCCTCCAACCTCCCGGGGAGGCGTCCTCTCCCCGCGGCTCTTCCGGGAGCCCCCCCCCCGCCCAGGTGCCCCGGCTCTCCCCACTCCCTGGGCCCCCGGAAAGCCGGGACGCCGCCCAGCCCCGCTTGGGAAAGGCTGACCGGCAGCAGCTCCCGGGCAAACAGGGGACGGCGGATCGCGGAAGGAAGACGGCGGAGCAGGCGAAGAGCCGCGAGCGAGAGGGGCTCGCAGTCTCCGGGCAGTGGCGAGCGGGCGGGCGGGCGGGCTCTGCCTTCCCCTCCTCCAAGCCCGGAGGACCGAGCCAGCCACCAACTCACCTTGGCGGGCGAGCCGAGGGACCCGGCTAGCCGTGGCAGAGTCCAGCTGCCGCTCTCCTTCTCCCAACTGGCGTCGCCTTTCCTGGCCAGGCGGGCTAAAGGAGGCAGAGGAGGCGGCGGCGGCGGCGGGCCGGCTGCTCCAGCCTCTTCCCTCGCCTCGGCTGTCTTGTCTGTCCGTCTCTCTGTCTGGTTCGCTCACACCTCGGTCCCTGTTAACCCTCCGCCTGCTGGCTAAGCCCGGCTCTGCCTGCCACGAGAGGCCGCCCCCTCGAGCGACTGCCTTGCGCGTGGCGTGGGGGGGGGGCTGCTGCTCTCGCTGCTGGCGAGCGACTGAACGGGCGGCAGAGCGGCGGGCAGAGAGAGGCGAGCGCCAGGGCGCGGGGCGGGCCGGGTTACCGGGGCAGGGGAAGACCCTCGGGGGTCGGGGGGGGGGACGGAGCACGCGGGCCCCACCTTGTAGGAAAGGGCGTGTAGCGCTTGCCAGGGCAGCTCCCCTCCCGCCGCTTGAAGCTCCCTGGGACGGTTGCGGACGACTGTGCCCGTGTGGTGGGCTAACCGTATGTTTGTGAGCAATGCTCCTTTCCCCACGGAGAGAAACCCTCCCTCCCAGGACTGCTTGTTTGTTCAAGCAGAGTCGGATTCATCTGAGCACCCGCAAAGTGAGCAGCCTCCTGTCCGCACGCCAGACCTCTGGCTAGCGCCAGGGAGCCCCCTTCGCTTTGGGGACGACGAAGACGGCCGCCCTCCCCTCCATCCAGGGCCAAGGAGCCGCGCATCCCCCTTTCCCAGGCTGCAGGCTGACTTCAGCCGCGGACGGGACTTCTTGCGGGAGGATCCGCCTGTAGCGATCCTGCCCTCGGTGTCTCTCTCCCCCCCCCCTCCGCCAACTCCCCCGAGCTAGTCTCGCAGATTCCTTTCGGCGCCCTTCTCCCTCCTCTCTCAGATCCTCCCCGGCAGTCCAGCCTCTTTCTCTTGCGTTGCTATGGAGCGAGGCGTCTCCAAGGGACATACCAGGCAGCACCTGTGGCTGGAACTGTCTCAGTTCAACCTCCAAGCCAGCTTGTCCGCTTGGGAAGGGTGGGCGCTGAAGCCCCCGCCTCTCGCCAAGGGAAGAAGAGACCCAGAACGGGCGGAGGGGGGGGCAGGCGAAGCAGCAATTAAACGGACGAGCGAGCTCGACCGTCCGGCTCTTCCTTGCGCTGCCTTCGATCGACTCCCGTCCCTCCGCTGTTACCGTTGATCCGATTTTTTTGCGCCAACAAATGCTAATCGTTTCTCCTCCGCTCCTCCGCCGAGTCCCGAATCGCCAACCTCGCCTTTCGCCTCCACCCCGCCCTCACTTGCCCAGAAGCATCTCCCAAGCGCCTTGCCGTGGGAGGGAATATTTTCCCCCAAAGCATCCTTCCGCTTTTCCTTGCCAAGCCCTCGTAACCCCGTGGGGAGATATGCCGGAGCGAGGGCGCGCCAGGAGCGAGCAAGGAACCTGCAACGCGAGGCCGAAGTCTGAACGGGCCGGTCCCTGCGCCTAGGCTGGAAGGATTTCAATATTGTGTTTGGTCTCCCTAAAATACCGGCATGAGCATCTCGTGAAACTTGTGATTAGAAGACAGGGCTCTTAGCTGGATCTTCTGGGTTCAGAAATTAAGTGGGGTTTGGCCCGGCTCATTCTTGGACGGGAGATCTCAAGGGGACACCAGAGCTGTAGGCGAGACTTCGAAGTAGAAAAACAAACAAGGTACTGAGGCGAGGAAAAATTGAAATCACCACGACTTGAGGGAGGCTATGTCATTCTTGGAGAGTGAGAAGTAGTTGGATCACTTTACCTTGTCCCCAATGGACGCTTCAGATATGTATTAAAAATGCAGTGTAAAAGTGTCAAACACATGTTTACAAACCCTAGGGCCATAAGTATTTAAGGAATGATGAACCACTGCAGTACGTTGTTAGTTAGACCATTACTAGAGCCAGTTTCATCTAATGCAGGGGTTCTCAACCTTGACAACTTTAAGACTTGTGGACTTCAATTCCCAGAATGGTTAAGGCACCGAGATAGAAACAGGGAAAGTGAACAGATGGCCTTTTGGGGAGATACACACACACACACACACACACACACACACACTTGTATTGTTTGGGAAATTTGCAATCTATCTAGTCTTTTGAGGATTTACAGCTTGATCATATGTGAGTTTGCTTCTGAACACTGTGCACTGTTTTCTGGACAACTTTACTGTCCATGTTGAAAACTGCAACTATTAACTTTTATGGTCCATCATCACATCACAATCCTCACTCCAAACACAGGGATGGTCTGTGACTTGAAAATTGTAAACAGAAATCCAGGTTTTTGTATAATGATGCCAATAACAACGGCCAGGTCTGTGCTAAGCAAAGAGAAGCTGTGCTACAGGGCTAAAAGCAAAACTAGTCCAATATTATTATATCCAGTTTTTACTCACATGTTCCTATAACACTTTTCTTTTCCCTCTTTTTTACCTTCTCTGCCTTTTGGGGCCCCAGTTCACCCCATTACTGCCAGTTTGCCCGTTCTCTTTCTTTTTATCTGTAGATCATTGATTCCTGCCACTGCCCAGTTAGTTCTGCTCTGTGCTTCTCTTCCATTTGCAGAGTGTGGCCATGCCTTTTTAAAATGTTTTCGATGGTGGTGAACATCTGTATTTTTAAAATGTATACACTCACTATATGGCAGGGCTTGCTTTGAAGCCCATGGCAAATCCAAAAGTATTCTGGGGGGGGGGGTTATACAGCAGGAAGCTGAGGCTTTGTAATGTTTTGTTTTGCTGCTTCCCCCCCCCCTCCAGCCTTTCCTGTGGGTGCTATGTTGGGGGTAGAAGACTTATCAAATCTTTCAATGCTTACTTTGTTTGTTAATACACCTTATCACAATTTTACAATGCTGTCTATTCTGTGCATGCATTTTGAATTAATTTCCCTTGAATTCTTTGCAAAAAGCCAACAGTGATAATTATAATTTACTCTGCTTCTGTTAGATACCTGGAAGCAGTAGCAGCCCTCCAGCTGACTTAAACCTTGTTTTCTTAACCATTTTAAAAATCCAATGACTACAGTTACTTTTAGAAACACACCTTGCCATCTCGCCAAAACTAACACACAGGAAAATCATAGGGGCTAGAAACTTTTTTCAGAAAATGAAATCTAAGGGATAAGGTCAGCGCCCGTTCAAGGTTTCTGCACTCTCTCCAACCTGCATAGAATCACACCAACTGAGCAATACTGTATGCAGTCAGTCACATGGTGTTCCTCTTTACTGGAGGACAGGCAGCTAATTACTTTTTACTCACCAGCACCAAGCCACAGCTGTTACATTACAGTATTTGTTACACTTCAGATCACTGCAAAAGTGAAACAGCTACCAATTTAGATGACTTGGCCTCCTTTGTACTGCCTTCTTTTTAGATTGTGCATGTGGGGAAAAGTGAGAAATAATTGGGGCAGAATAAGGCTTGGCAAAGAAAATAATTGTGAGTAAAAACTGTTGCGTTTTTCAGCTGCACGGCCAAGACCTTCCTGGAGGAATTCAAGAGTTATGTCATGTGTGCCGCTTCAAGAAGGAAGGATAACGGTGCGGTTGTGGCTTGGTTCATTATGCACCGCTGTGGGATTTCACATCCGCTATGGAGGATTAGATCCCTGTATAAGTGTCTGAAACAAGGCCAAAAACTTCTATTCTACAATGCTTCTGGTCCATATTGGAAACTGAATTGCATGCTGCGTTGGGATGCATGGACAGAATACTGAAGAAGCATTTGGGCTATTTAGGAAAGAGAGCTCCAATGAGGGACAAGTTGTCAACAATTAAACCCTTGAAGTGCCCGCTGGGCAAACTGGTGAGGAAGCCACTTGTCCGTGAATTTGATTACAACATGTGATCCATCTTTTATATGTTAATATGGCATGACAAGGCCTTCTAGCTTATTTGGCCCTACGTTGGAACAGAAGAGTCCAAAATGTGTCCTAGCATGCATTTTATACAAAAGCTCCTTTCACACATTTATTCAGTTAGAACAGGTTGATCCTGTTATGTTATGTTAGTCATTTAATAGCAGGATCATTGGGGAGGTGGTTGGAAGTGCTAGAAAATTTTCTGATTTTTAGCTAGATCTCTGACATTAAAGAAAAAATGTAATATTTGCCTGGGCAACAGAATGCTGGTTTTCACCTACCTTGCTTTTTGGGGGAAAAAATTGTATGTAACAATTGCTCTAAAATGAGAAAAACCGATGAATGTTTTCTTCCAAACCATCAATTCTGAAATAAAGTCAGCACATGCTCTGAAAAACATGATCCTACTGAAGCAAATAATAAAAGTTGGATGGATTTTGTTTCTTGAGATTCTGTATGCTGGTGGTAGTTTTCTCACTGTCGGTTATCACTGATGGGAGAGAGAAAAGGATAGGAAAGGAAAGGAAAAGGGAAAGATCTTCCTTCCTCCAGTCTCTCTTTCCATGGATGACAGGAGAAAGTGGGGAGAGAATGAGAAGGATTCCTTTTGAATCAATTTTATTCCACAATCAGCATTTGTTGCTTTTATACATTAAAAAAGGGAAAAGGTGAGAAAAATCATAAATAAAAAACCGCTGCTTGTGATTCAGCTCCATTCATGACTCTTATCTGTTGTGTATTTTTAAAACTTGTATTCAGTTGGAGTTGTGATAAAATTAGGCAATGGCCATGGGAAATAGCTTCAGATGATGGACCTTTGCACTCACACCCACTCCTTTCCTCCTATTCACTGTGACTGATAGATGTTTTTCCTGCCTGCTGCCATGCAGAAGAGGGAGGGCAGCAAAGATGTGGGGCTCAGTCAATCACTTTACTTATCACAAGTTGCACACATATGATTAGGACATTTGCCGTTCAGCAGTGAGTCAGAACAAATGGGAGAGGCAAAATAGGGATTAAAATAGTGACAGCAAATTTTATGCCATAATTGGTATAGTTTTTTCTATCAGCTGAAGGATAAGGGGACCACTGTTTAACTCAGCAGAAGGGAAAGATCTTTTCTCTTTGCCATTTGCCAGTGGTTGGATTCATACAACGCAAGATGTTACTCCCTTGTACAATATTTTTCAAAGTTGGTGGTTTTTCTTATTCTTTGTTAAGTTAAGTAGCTCCTTGTGCTGAGTATAGATTTAGGGAATGCAAAGGCAGGGTAATGTCAGTCCATCATGAATAAGCGCCATGACTGTAAATAGTTTTATAATAAAGAATTAGAGAAGTTAGCGGAGATGCACAGAAGTCAACATATTACAATAGTTATTAAAATAACTGTGAATTTTCTCATTTAAGATGCAGTTGAATCCCTCTTGGATTCAAATCTGTGGTTGTGATTTAAGTACTAGAGTTGTACAATGCTTTTCATTCAGAAGCAATCTTGGAACATAGAGACATTTATATCAGCCTTGGGAAATGATGCAGCTGCTTTAAGGAGTTGCAGACAGATGTTCTGTCTGCCTTCTGTATACTTCAAGGCATCTTCTTGACACAGAAGCAGAAGAATTGCACGGCCTTTAGTATTGCTTCCAGTATTATTTCAGATAGGACATTGCTATGATAATATTAATCCTATTAACCAGTGCAACAATGATGGGATGATGCTAGAAGGCATTGTAAATCACAATCACGGAAATGGGTCTTAAAACTGTAAAGAGTGTAATTTATTTGTAAATGTAGCTACTATTTAATAATAGCTGTCTATTTAATTCAGCCCCCCATCTCCCTCTCTCTCTCTCTTTTATAAAAAGATAAGCTTGTTTCATTGTTTGGGATATGCAAGAATTGATACCTAGAGCAGGGCTTTT